CAACAAAATTCTACATTCAACGTGTCCGCTGCCACCAGGTCGGTCATGGTAGAAGAATTAAAGATCGGTGAGTACATCATCCACCAAGTAACATTTCAATCAAGATACAATGTCATTACATTGTATCTTGATTGCCTTTGCTGTGTAATTGTTAGAAAGTATTTGAAATTAATATTGTATTGGTGCACAGGTCTGGCCACCACTGAAGAGATCATGAAGGGCAGGTGTGGGTGGCAGCGATTGTTCGAGATGCCCGCGTTTTTTAATACCTTTAATCATTTCGCGGTGGTGCTGGCCTCCTCCGCCAGCCAGGACGACCAGCTGAAGTGGTGCGGGCTCGTTGAGAGCAGAATTCGACATCTAGTCGGTCAGTATTCCCTATAAGTCTACTAATATATTTCACTTAGCTTCGTAATGCAAGCTCACGGCCTCTTAATGGCAATATATCTAACGGTGTATATTTGTTACAGAATCATTTCAAAAGGACGAACCAGTGACATTAGCGCGGGTGCACCCAAAGTGTTACAACTGTCCACCCGTTAGTGCAACCACTGGGCAGGCCCCAGCCAACTGCTGCTCAATGTGGTTCATCGGGTTGGAGTTTCCAAAGTCACATTAGACCTGACTGGTGATGCCACTGTATACATATATACCCTTCAAATTACACAATAAATTAAAAAAGTATATTAAAAAATATAAATTAATAAAACGAACTCAGAAATCACTTAAAAAACATAAATTAAGCAAAATGAACCTGAGACTAAGAAAAGATAAAATTAATTTAACAAAAGATGAGCTCAACCGCTGTAGATTGAAATATGATTCAGACGTAACGAGCCTTCATAATGATTTACTGGCTAAGGAAGGTATGTTGAGGGAGATATTAATTTATTTATTTTTTTATATTTGATGACTAAATATTAAATATTGTCGCGGAGAACCTAACGGGTAACCGGGGCTCCGGCTCAACGTGCAGGAGAAGGAACGGGGTGGTTTTTAGTCAGTAAGAGTCTGACACTCCCTCCCGCCTCACCCAGGCGGTAGCAGTCATTCGATGATTTTCCCCCTTCAAAAAAAAAAAAAATTAAATATTATATTCCCAACAACAATTGGGTGAGCGCCTGCTTGCTTGCGCCTCTGAGCTGATGGATATGGTGAAGTGCAACGCAGAAAGGTATGAATCATTAACAAATAACCTGGAATGCAGTTGTGTACCGGCCTCAGCCTCCGGAGACTTCATTTATGCAGGTACCTACTCAAGTTACAATAAATACCCAACCAAATGATACACAAAATTATAAAACACATGTCTACAGAGATGAGTTAGGTTCTGGATTTGGCCAAATGCTGTATGGTCATCTTAAACAAAGTTTTATAAACAACAGTAAACACAACTTGAGTTATAACAAAATTATTAAACAAATAACTCATGCCGATTTAAATGAAAAATCAGTTTTAGTTTTAATGTTAGGTAACAGTTTAGGAATAACAAGAGGGGACATTGTGAACGGTGTGGACACCTTATTGAACTTGAACACAGGGAAGATAATATTGTGTGCCTTCCCGTATTCTAATACTTTATCATGCTCTAAGAATAAATACATTAAGTGTATTATACAATACACTACACCAAATGACATGTACTTTTATTTTTTGATTTATTTATTTATTTTTGGTTTCACGTACACCTTCATATACTGCATCCCCGCGGCGGACAATAGCAGGTTAACCCTTAAACCCTGCACCAGCATCTGGACCTGGCGTTCGACGCGGCACTCGTCTTCTGCAGCGGCCAGTAACGTCAGAGGAGTGCTAAACCAGTGAGGAGTTAATCACTGTACTCTAACCCAATATTCTACCGACCCTCATCTACCGAGCTAATTATCGAACTTTCAATAAATGTTCCAGTTTTACTGTCTACCTACTTTCATTTAAAATCCTACTAGTTTACATTCCCTTATAGTATAACCCTGCCTAGGTTAGGTAGGATAAAGTAGCGAAGCGGTAACCGTACCACTGGAACATTTAAAAGTTATGAAATATGAGATCGACACCGTATAGGTGTTGTGCAATGCCTCTGTGTACTAATACAGGTTTAAAAAACTCGAAAAAGTTATTTATATTCGTTCCTTGACACGAGATAAATGGTTTAAACTTGCAAGGCGTGATATAAAGGGAATATTGCCTAATACTGAGCTTTCTGTGAAGATAACTTTGACATAAGTATTTACTTATATTTGTAAAGTTCTACATAGTTTCAATATTTAAACTTTGAGATTAAGTTTACAGTAAAAAGCCCGGACAAGTTATTTATATTCATTCCCTATGATAAAATGATACGAAATAAATGGTTTAAACTTGCAACACTTAGTATAAAAGGAATATTGCCATAAACTCAGCTTTATTTCTATGAAGATAACTTTGACGCAAGTATTTACTTATATTTGTAAATTCTACATAGTTACCAAAGCATTAACAGCTTGAATGCCAATAGAAATAAGACACAATAGAAAATACATTGTGTCTCGCATGGATCCATGTTTAGACACACGACAGATTATAATTATAACGCTGTTCAATATTTAACTTTGAGGTTAGATTTCACCTGTAATATTCTCTTTTATCACAGAAAACATAATAGTTTTATTTAAATTTCAGTTACCGAATGATATGGAAAACTATATGCAATATCACTTGATGGGTTCGGTGCCATAGACACGCATAAAAGAAAGGTGTATTCCTTCAAAATTAGCTTGTCAACCAGATAGAAAAAAAAATAACAGCTGATACAATACAACGGCAATATATTGTCAAAAAACAAAGGAAGGAGATGATTGAAGAACTGCTGAAATAAACAGAAAATAGTACAGATCGAGTCTTCATCGGGAAGTACATGTGAACTTAATATTAATAATTTAGTTGAATCACACATTGACTCGGTGTTCATTATTATTTTACTGAGAAATAACATACTATACCCATGCCATAATTGCTAGCTTGGCGCAATGGTTACCGCATGAGATTTACGATGAAGGGCCGCAGATTCCATCCCAGCATTGTAATTAAAAATAAATACGTTTTTTGCAATCTATAATTTACAATTAATTACATAGTTGTGTAACTTTAGTGACTTTTGTTAACTGTCATCATCCCTATTGTCGAATATTAATATAACAATATTATATAATGACATTATAGTGTGGGAATCTTTGAAGGTAGAAGAAAATTTAGATCGGTATGAAAGGCATGTCGAGTGCATAACCGCACCTTTTTGTTCGAGATTCGTCAGACCGTCACTACGTTTGTCCTGGCAGTGTGGTTTGTGAGGTTTAGATGTTGATGAAAATGCATTAACAGTAAATGTAAAGTCTGAATTTGAGACGTCGTCCTCACTTAGGCAGCGCATTCAAATAAACGTGGCGAAGGAAAGACAGTAGCTGTAACTACCTTTTTCTGCTTCTAGTTTGCTAGAAAATGTTGTAATAATAAACATAAGTCACATTTTGTATTATAAAAATACTTTTGTATCAAAGTAAGCTCTCTTTAGAATCAAATCGACATTTCTGTGGCATTGTTAGTAAGATTTTTTATAGATTACCCGACTTAATATTGCAAGCAACAATACATAACATAATTGGTATTACATGTGCGGTACGCGCGACGCGATGATCTACACCAGTACCTCTCGAGCTCCTTGCTGCACCGCGGCCAGGGAGGCAAACGACCCTCGGAGAGCAGCGTCACTGCTCTGGTTCCTTGCAAAAGACAAACGTAATCTACTCCATACATACTGTATATATTTAGAACTAGATCAAACGACTTTGGGTAACCCTAATCGTAGCCAGGTTTGTCAGTCGCGCCGCATCGGTGGTAAGGATAACACGTCTATGCGTCTCCGTGCCACTCTTTTATTAAGGTGTTTGTATTCATTTTCGGTGGCTTGGTATACCTGTGGCGACACATGTCACATGTCAACGGATGACGTCATAAAAAATCCTACATCGCACATGCGAAGTTTTCAATCGAATTAACAAAGTAGAAAATCCCAACGAACAACTGTTGGGAAGAAAGCCCGCCAGGCACGATCACCGCGCCTGGTCGGAGGATCCTCCTTTTCCGATCTTAGGGAACTATAATCTCTGTTCCCTAAATACCTTTAAAATTGATTTCGGTGAATCCGTTTTATCTACAACTATAATTTTTTTTTTATTACAATAAAGTCATAGTCACTCGATTTCAATAAAAGCGATTAACTCGTCGAGTACCGGTTTTGTAGACACAATTATAGAACAATAAGTTGCGGTCACCGGTGACCCCTTGGTGTTTGACAGTTTAATGCTAATAAATCGACTTTTTGAAAATGTCTAGAATTTTGTCAATTATTTTGATTTCAGTGGTATTGATTTCGGTGTTTTTGGTGGAAAAAGGTGCACCGAAATCAATTTTAAAACTACTGAAATCAATAAATAGCTATTAGTTTATTCTGCTTTCTTATCACCTCTCATCTTTATTCAGAACTGTGACTATTAACTAAAAATCGTGGGTTACTCACGTGAATATACTGAGAAAAGCTTTACTAGTTTCGAACCACAGAGGGGTTCTTCCTCATGAGCAACGGTCGGTGCGCGGTGCGTGTAGATAATACCGTGCGACTGTGGCTCGAGTAACATCGGGGAAACTCGTCACAACATCACAACTAGGCTAAAGGAACATATACGCAGCGTGAAGAAGATGGACATCCAGGCATCAGGCGGTATGCGAATGAAGTTGAGACGAGAAACTCGAATGTGGATTGGATTTTATAGTACAGTGTCGTGATAATGGTGTAGTGCTGAAGTTCGCGCAAATCAAACCTATCAAATGCATTCGAGATTGCGATTGGTTCTTCCGCGTCGCGAGTAAAAAATAACTGTGTCGAACAATATCCGACTATCGGCGCAAGTTAGTGTTCATCAACAACGGTATGTACGAGCTACACCTACAATTGTCGCGGATGTTGGATGCCGAATTATGGAGGGTTCTGTATACAATGACGTACAATCGCACGAAGAACATTGGAAAAAGTACAAGCAAGGGGCAACATGATAAATTGACACACCTCATACAAACTTGCAAGTACCCGCAATATAAACATAAATTGCCGAACAAAGGAAATGGGTCAAACACGGTTGTCAATTTATCATCAAAACAACTATCTGCTGCTCAACGTAAGTACTTACCCGAGGCCTAAATTACGCGCCGGCACCTCGGAAATTAGCTGTGGAGGACAACCATCGAAAATACGATCTTCCGGAATAAGATACCTCGCAGCGACGCAGAGTGCCTGCGGCAAGACGTGTCGTCATTGTTGATACAATAACAGCTGATACAATACAACGGCAATATATTGTCAAAAAACAAAGGAAGGAGATGATTGAAGAACTGATGAAATAAACAGAAAATAGGACAGATCGAGTCTTCATCGGGAAGTACATGTGAACTTAATATTAATAATTTAGTTGAATCACACATTGACTCGGTGTTCATTATTATTTTACAGAGAAATAACATACTATACCCATGCCATAACTGCTAGCTTGGCGCAATGGTTACCGCATTAGATTTACGATGACGGATCGC